CCTCTGCCTCCTGAGTGCTGGAACTAAAGGCATGGGCCATGAGTCCCAGCTTTGCTGCACACTATTTTGAATAGCCAGTAATTTAAAAAGAAACAAACTTTTGCTTGTGTACCAAAATTGCAGAGTTCACTGAAGTAAAAATGATAGTAATAAAATATGATATTCATATATATATGTAATCTGCCTGCCTCTGCCTCCTGAGTGCTGGAACTAAAGGCATGGGCCATGAGTCCCAGCTTTGCTGCACACTATTTTGAATAGCCAGTAATTTAAAAAGAAACAAACTTTTGCTTGTGTACCAAAATTGCAGAGTTCACTGAAGTAAAAATGATAGTAATAAAATATGATATTCAAAGGCCCCATCAATATTTCACAAAGACCATGTGGACAAAGTGAAAGTGACTCAGCAAGGCAGCATCTATTTTTGCAAAAGGATTAGTTGTGTCATTCAGGGCTGGAGAGATGGCTTAGCAGTTAAGAACAGTGGGTGTTCTTACAGAAGACTTGGGTTTGAATCCCAGCACCCACATGGCAGCTAACAACTGTCCGTAACTCCAATCCAGGGGATCTGACAGCCTCTTGTGTCTACTGTATGCACTGCAAGACATGGGTATACTTACCTACATTCAGGCAATGCATACATATGCATAAAATAAAAATAATAAATAAAATATGAAAAAAGAATTAAAAAAAAAAGGATTCGTTGTGTCATTCAAATTGAACAAGCACATATAACTTGGAAGATTGATAGGTTTTGTTTATCCCTGACAGAAGGGAGTTGTGTCTTTTCCCCATAAGAGATCTCACAGTCTCTCATGGTTGGTTAGTTTTTAAACTGGCATAGACCAGCCCCATTTGTTCAGGGCTCATATCTACTCTGCTTAGCTGTTAGAAACAGCCCACCTGTGCCCATTGGCCCTCTTGAGCCTAGGCCCCTTCCCAGTGCTGCTGCCAGGGGGCCCCCAATGAAGCTGGGAGCAGGCAGATTCTTGGGCTTAGGCCGCTTCATCCTGGTAGAGAGCTCCTGACTAGGTAGCCTGAAATTATTTGATCCCTCCAATTAAAAATCAAGAGGGGGCCTGAAGCACAGATCAACTAACTATTCATACCTGATCAAAAGCAATCAAGTTACATCAACAATAAAAACAGGATCAAACTTCAACTGAAAAAAGGCAGGCTAGAATTTTATATCAGACACACAATCACCTGAAGAAATCCACATGCCCAGGTCACAATGCAAAACCACAAATAACATGAAAAACCTAGATAATATGTCTCCACAAAATCCTTCTAGTCCTATAGAAATATTCAACAGTGAGAATCACCCAGAGAAACCCCAGGACACAGAACTTAAAAGAACAACTACAAACATGATGAAACAATTCAATGACTACAAAGAACACACACGAAACAACTCAAATAACTCAAGGAGGAGAAGAATAAACTCCTGATTGAAGCTCAAGTAATACAAATATATAGATGAATGAAATGACAAAGACAATTCAGGACTTGAAAAGTGAATTCATGAAAGAGATAGAACTATTGAAGAAAACTCAAGATAAATGAAGAGGGAATTGAAAAACTCAATGAACCAATTTGAAATGACAGAGGAAAGCCTCACCAGCAGAATTAATGAAATGGAAAACAGAATATCAAGACCAGATGACAAAGTTAGAGAATTGGACTATTCAAACAAAGAATACGAAAAAATTAAGACACACAGGAATGGAATATGTAGGGAATGTGGGACATCATGAAAAGACCAAATCTACACATTATAGGCATAGAAGAAGGATAAGAATCCCAGGTCAATGGCATTGACTAGATCTTCTACAGGATCACAGATGAAAACATCCCTAAATTAAGGAAAGATATATCCATATAGATACAAGAAGCACACAGAATACCAATTAGACAGGACCAGAAGAGAAAGTCCCCATGGCATATCATAGTAAAAACATTAAATGTACAGAACAAAGGGAGGGTATTGAAATCTGCAAGAGAAAAACAAGTTGCATATAAAGAAAAACCCATCAGAATTACAGATGATTTTTCATTGCAAACTATAAAAGCCAGAAGAACCTGGAGCAAAGTATTTCAAGTTCTAAATGATCATAGATTGCAGCCCAGCATATTTGACCCAGCAGAACTGTCTATCATAGTTGAAAGGGAAAGAAACCATCCATCCATGATATGAACAGGCTGAAAGAATTTATGTCCCCCATACACTCTACAGAGAACACTCAAAGCAATGGAAAAGGCTGAAGAAAAGAATGACCAAACTCAAGAAGTTACAGAAAGAAAGCAAATGGAGGGGTGATCACAGGAACCTAAATTCAGACTAAGAACACAAACAGAAAATAAAATGGCAGTAACTTATACACACCTTTCAATAATAACTCTAAATATCAATACTCTCAACTCCCAATTCAAAAGATACAGGCTAGATGAATGGATGGAGAAAGAGAATCCATATTTTCATTGTCTACAAGAAGCTCGTCTCACCTTCAAGTATAGGAACCACCTTAGGGTGAAAGGATGGGAGAAAAAAATATTCTAAGCAAATGAAACTAAAAAGCAAGTAGGCATTGCAATTCTAATATTTAAGAAAATAGGCTTCAAATTAATATTAATCAGGGATAAAGAGATAAAGAAAGTAGCTTCATTCTGTTCAAAAGAGTAATTGACCAAGAAGACATTTCAGTCATGAACACATATGCACCAATCTCTAATGCACCCAGTTTCAAAAAAAAGTACTAGTGGATTTCAAGACACAGACTAGTCCCAACTCAGTAATACCACAGTCTCTATAATAGATAGGTCAACTGGATAAAGAATAAACAGAGAGTCGTTGGAATTAAATGGTATCATACCTCAAATGGACCTAACAGTCATTTACAGAATATTCCACCCAAGTACCAAAGAATACACATTTTACTCAGCAGTCAATGGAAGTTTCTCTAAAATAGATCACATAATGGGGCACAAAACAAACGTTAATATATACAAAAAAATTGATGTATTCTATCGGACCATAAAGCAATAAAACTGAAATTCAACAGCAAAGGAAGCCCTAGTAGCTACATGAACTGATGGAGATTAAACACCTGAATGATGAATGGGTCAAAGAAGAAATCAAGAAATAAATAAAAGTATTCCTGGAACTAAATAAAAATGATAATACTACAAAATAAAACCTCTGAGACACCTTAAAAGCAGTCCTAATAGGGAAATTTATTTCTCTAAATACCTA